CATATGCATTTATTTAATTTATAATTAGTGAGTGATACTATAATATCTGTTTTGTTATTATAAGTATTTATATTAGTTCTTTACTACTAAGTTTTAAAGACCTTAGAAATAAATTTTATGAATAATATTTTATTTTATAATGTTCTCTAATGTTTTTTGAATGTGTAAAATTTTTATTTAAACTTTATCTAAATAAAGTACAATATTTCATAACAAATGTTGGCTAGGTAGTTACGTATGTACATAATACATATTTAAAATCAATTTTCACAAAAATGCTTTATTAAAAAACATTATACATATTGTGTGTTTCTTTCAGTAATATAAGTAACAAAAATTAGCGATATAGAAAAATAATAAGATGGCGGCACGTAAAAGTATGGCAAATAAATTATTGGATAATCCTATACGTACAACTTCACCTTCTTCATCACCATTACGACGGAAATCAATTTTGATGCAAAAACCTGTTGTTCTTTCTTCTTTGGGAGAAAATGATGATGAAGCAGAACGTTTGGCTCGTCGTCGTGAAATTAATGTTACTTCCATGCCAGTATCTACCACGAACACATCTGATAGAAGACGTTCCTTAGGTCTTAGCTTCTTGGCGAATATGCCAAGTACTCAAATGGCGGAACGTATATCTCAGTGTATAAAACTTGGTACAGAAAATAAAATCAATCTTAAAAATGCGTTTAGCTTGGAAATGATTGATTTTATGACATACATGATCAAGAAACAAGATGTCAATATGTCTAATTTACAAATAGCTAGTACATCTTTAGATGTAAGCACTAAAATTTATGGGTTTCGGGTTGATGGTGTACATATGGACATACTTAAAATGGTTGGTGGATTAGACAAACAAGGCAAAAGAAATGAAAATATAGAGGATAATGGTATGGAACAAATGGATACTCAAGCAGAAAACAAAAATAACCAAGTACAGAAGCAAGAGAGAAAAAAGAAAAGAAAATGTAAGCAACGAATATTTGCTACAGTGGAAGCTTTGAGAACGAATGTTGAAACTGAAAAACCTTCTCTAATAACTATGGAAGCAGATTTACAAACTGCAGACATGTTGTACCAAGCAATATTGCCAAACCATGTGACATCTAGGTTTTATTTCCATCCGTACAGTGATATCTTAGTGGATGCAGTAGAGCATAAAGAAATACAAGATAAAGATATTGGTTGTGACATTCCAAAGATAAAAGACTTTTCACAAATGCAAATTTGTCCACCTATGTTTTATTTTGATTTTCAAAGTTGGAATGCGAATGATGAACTAGAGAATCCTAAAGAAGAAAAATCTAATGAAGATGCATTTCAATTTGATCTGGATGCATTATTACCAGAAGACAATGAATATGCTGGTAGAACTTATTTCGATGTTGAAGAAAATGAAGAGGAAAATGTGGAGAGATTTGTTGCAGCGACAAATCAAGTAGAAAATATTGTAGACTTTCGAGAAGTTTTAACCACTACTTTACCATCTAAAACATCAGAATATACATTTATTCAAAAAAATTTGAATATACATTGGACAGGCCCATCCCATTGGAAAATTACCAACTTTAAAAGAGGTAACAGTAAAATAATTCAAATGTGTTGTCAAGCACAAAATAAGAAGAGAAAAGAAATAGAACTGCATTATGACGATGAAATAGTGGAAAGCATAAAAGCTAAATTTCAGCCAAGTCAAGCAGTTAAAATGCATACTAGAACTGCTAGAAATGAATGGAACGAGGAAATATTAACGCTACCACCAGATGAGCACTACGATATTGCACAAGCTAATAAACTGTATCTTCATGAATCAATATTTGCATCTGAAAGTACAGCAAAAATAAACACTGCACGTTTAAGCGATAGTATAGAAAATTGTAATTATAATTGTGAAAATGACATATCAAATTATTGTCCTGAAACAAATGATGATCAATATAAAAGTTCGGAAGAAAATAATACAGCTAATAATGGCAATAGGCTCAAAGATAAGTCTTTAATGCCATCGCAGCCTTTTACAGGCGATAATTTAGTTGCCATGCCTAAATTGACAAATAAAGTACCTATTACATACTGTGTACGTGCAAAAAAGGTTGACATGAGACAATTAAAAAAATCTATTTGGAAATGTTTAAATACAAACAGTGAAAAACAAAATGAAAGTTTAGACACAATAGATACAGTCTTACAAAATTTAAGTAATAAAATGAGTGGTTGTAAACAATTCAGTAATGTATATAAAAGACTACCAACTTTATTAACGAAAACTAACTCAGAAGCATTAAGTTTTCCAATTTCCTTTGTGTCCCTTTTACATTTAGCAAATGAAAAATCATTGAAAGTAATTTCTTCACTTGATATGAGTGACCTTACTGTGGAACAAGATTGATTATATAGTTGATTGTAAAATAAATATCTACAAATGCTTATATGTGAAATGTATTATAAATAACAAGCGGAAAAATAAACCGATATTTTATTTATATTAGAAAATTGTAAATTGAAAATGTAAAATGATTATTATATTTTATACCAATTTAGTATTACTCTAACACATAATAAATTAATTTCTTTAGTGTTTTATATATATTTCTTTGGTTTCGCGTAAAATTTTTATTCTGTACCATTTTTTACTATTACAGAAAAATAAGAGAATGGAAGTTCAGAAAAGGTAATTGAAATTTTATTTGTTATCGTTGTCAGTATTATTATTATTGTTATCATTATCATTATCATTATCATTATCATTATCATTATATTAAATTCTAATAGAAAGATATGTTTTCTTTGTTATTGCATATCAATTTTACTACATAAACGGAAATATTATTTACCGTGTCAAAAAAAATGCCCGCAAAAATTACCACGTAAATAGAAGAATAAGTGTCCATAATTTAAAAAATTATACTGATGTACACATTAGAAAAAACGGTGTAAACATTATATTAATATATTATCCGAATATTTGCAAAAATAAAATCATTTAAGTAAATAATGTAATATCTATGGAATAATAATTACACGTATGTTATTTTAAAAGATAAAATATAAAATGTTTAATAATAAAGTATAAAAATTATATAAAGTTTTATACGTTAACTCATAACAAAAAATGTTTTGTTATTAATATAATATGTAATAA